TGACCAATCCCCTCTCAGTAGTCCACACACACTTCTTTGTATATTTGACTACAGACACTTGGTTTGCGTAGTCTGTTGGCCAATCCCTGCAAGATGCATACAGTCACAGGACAGGCTATCCCTGAGGGCCAGACAAAATACAGCAACCAAGTTGTTTACAGATGACCCAGGAAATATAATGAACCCTCTGGTAACTCCTCAGGACTGAGGGTAAGTGTCTCTCTAACATTTTTTTCTGGAGAACCAAGACTAAAGGCCAAATAAAGGACCTCTTGTCACCACACATCACCTCACTCCTGCCTGAGAGCTCACATTGCCCCCCTCGTATTATTTTAAATTGTTTTAGAAATTCACCTCCACTTTTGTCTTTCTCAAATCTCATTCTGCTTTTCTTATATAAAGACATTTGTAATTGGATTTAGGGTCCACTTTGAGAATCCAAGACTAAGACCATCTCATTTTACAACACTTAATTACAACACTTAACTGCAAAGGCCTTTTCTCTAAATAGGACCACAGTCACAGGTCACAGGGACTAGGACAGGCATATTTTGGGGGTCACCCATCAACACGTAAGATAACTGCACTGCCCCCTTTTTGTTTGTTTTGTTTTGGCATTGACTTTTTTGAAGAGTCTTGTAGGACACCCCACATTCTGGGCAGGTTTGGTTTTCTCATCCTCAGTACTCACAGATGATGTGAGAACATACCACGCCATGCCAGGAGAGACATGCTATCAGGATGTCCCACTGTTAGTAATTCTAAATGTGATCATGTGTCTAAGGCGGGCACTGTCAGATTACGTCCATTGTAACATTACGTCTTTCATTTATAATTTACAAGTAATGTATAGGGTGATACTTTCAATCTGTGGGTGTCTGGCTCCCTGACAGTGATGATGGTTATACAAACCACCATTTTCTAACCCTATCATCATTCCTCTACAACTCTAGGTGACATTTGTGTGTAGGGAAAAGTTTTCTTTTCTCTGCCCCCTGTGCTTTTAAACATTCTATTTTAAATGGGCAGGGTTTCTCAGACTTGGAAGTTTTTGTCTTTCTACTTGGTAGGCATTTTCATGTTAACAAATTTTTTTCATTTTTTCCCTCTGGGTACATGTCATAATTATAATTACAGGTGTGGCACTGTAGGATAAGCACTGGACTGCTAAACACAGTATCAGCAGTTCAAACCCACCAACCACTCCTCAAAAACTCTTTAGAGAGGATTGCTGTGAGTCAGAACTGACTTGATGACACTGAGCAACAACATATTATGGATGGATATTTCTGAACACTTCTGTATCAGACATTTGGACAAGACTTCTGTGTGTAAAGAATGGGAGTCCAGCTGTCGCGTGGTCATGGTATTAACTGAGACGTGAACTCAGGTCTGTTGGATGCTAGCTTCTAAGGTCCACCACCACCATCATCATTGTTGTTAGTTGCTATCGAGTCAGCTCTGACTCATGGCAACTTTGTGTACGAGGGAAGGTCCAAAAGTATCACTACAAATCATAGATACCTTTATGAAACAAAATTAGCAAAAGGGAAAGCTGTGATCTGTGGGCAATATTTCCATCTCTCTAGTTTTCTCAAAAATCTGTACTCTTTGATTTGCACCACATCAAAACAGCAGTTTTGGCATCCTGAAGGAACTCAAATCATGTTCTTTTTCATTGTTCTTGGAGTTTGAGAAACAAAAAAAGTCTGAAAGGGAAAGACAAGGGTTGTAGGGTGGGCGGGGTGAGGTAAGCCCAACAAAATTCTCCAGGAAAGTCCTTGCTTCCCTCAAAGAATGAGTGACAGGTGCTAGAACACCTATCCCAGTACTCAGTCACAGTAGCACCCAAATCAAAAAGACAAAACAAAAACATACCATTGAGGCGATTTGGACTAATAGTGAGCCTGTTGTTCGGCACCGTAAGTCAATTCTGACTCCTAATGACTGTCTGCACAACAGAAGGGATCACTGCCCAGTCCTGCGCTGTCTTCACGTTCGTTATGTGTGAGCCCATCGTCACTGCCACAGTCACTCCTCTTTCACTGACCCGATGTCTTTCTCAGGGACTGGTCCAAAGTACAAAAACAAAAGTCTCACTGTCCTGGCTTCTAGGGATCACCTGGTTCTACTTCTTCCAAGACAGATTGTTTGTTCTTTTGGAAGTCCATGATATTCAATATTCTTTTATAATACCGTACGTCACATGCATCTGTGGTTGTCCTTATTAATTGTCCAACTGTCGCATGCATGTGAGGCTATTGAAAATCGCATAGCTTGGGCCAGGCACACTTTGGTCCTCAACGTGACATCTTTGCTCTTGGAATCTTTTGCAGCAGATTTGCCTAATGCAGTGTGTCCTTTGATTTCTTGACCACTGCTTCCAAAAGTATTGATTGTAGATCCAAGCAAAATGAAGTCATTAACAACTTCAATCTCTTCTTCCATTTACCATGTTGTTATATATTGGTCCAATTGTGAGGTTTTTGTTTTCTTTACATTGAGATGCAGTCCATACTGGAAGCTGTAGTCTTTGATCTTCTTCAGTAAGTACTTCAAAGCCTCTTCACTTTCAGTAAGCAAGGTTGTGTCATCTGTAAATCGAAAGTTGTTAATGAGTCTTCCTCCAACCCTGATACCATGTTCTTCATATAATCCATCTCTCAGATTCTTTTCTCAGCATACAGATGAAATAAATTTGGTGAAAGGATGCAACCCTAACTCATACTTTTCCTGATTATAAACCATTTATTCCCTCGTTCTGTTCAGACAACTGCTTTTTGGTCTATGGACGGGATCCTGATGAGAAAAATTAAGTGTTCTATAATTTCCTTTTGCAATTTTATCCATAGTTAATATCCACATAGTCGAATGCTTTTGCACAGTCACTAAAGCACAGATAAACAGCACTCTGGAATTTCTGCTTTTGGCCAAGATCCATCTGACATCAGCAGTGGTATCTTTCATTCCACGTCCTCTTCTGAATCCAGATTGAACCTTTGGAAGTTCTCTGTCAGTGTATAGTTTCAGCTGTTTTGGTATACCAGCAGCAAAATTTTCTTGCATGTGATATTAACTATATTGTTTAGTGATATTTTCATTCTATTGGGTCACCATTCTTTGTAAAGGTCACAAATATGTGTCTCTTTGAATTAGTTGGCCAGGTAGCTGTCTTCCAAATTTCATGCCTTCAGCACTACATTTGTTGAGACATCTCAGTTTGTATTCCGTCAATTCCTGGAGCCTTGTTTTTCACCAGTGCAGCTTGTACTTCTTCCTTCAGTACCATAGGTTCTTGCTCATATACTGCTTCTTGAAATAGAAAATGCTGGGTGTCTTTCCTTTTAGTTTTCCAACTCTTGGTCTTTGTGCATTTCATTATATTACTTTGTCGTTTCAAACTACGTGTTGAAATTTTCTGTTCAGCTCTTCTTCTTCATTTTTCCATTACTTTAGCTTGTCTACATTCAAAAGCAAGTTTCAGAGTGTCTTCTGACATTTTGGTCTTTTATTTCTTGCCTGTCCTTTAAATGCCTATTTGCTTTCTTCCTATATGATATTCTTGATGTCATCCCACATCTCTCTGGTATTCAGTCATTAGTATCTAATGCATGAGATCTGTCCTTGAGATGGTCTCTAAATTCTGGTGGGATATATTCAAGGTCATATTTTGGCACTCATGGACTTGTTTTAATTGTCTTCAGCTTCAGCCTGAACCTGCATATGAGCAGATGATGGTCTGTTTCACAGTCTGCCCTGGCCTTGTTGTGGCTGATGGTATGGAGTTTTCCCACTGTCTCTTCCCACAGATGTAGTCAGTTTGCTTCCTGTGTGTATTCCATTGGTGAGGTCAACATGTATAATCAAAAGGTATTTGTAATGAATAGGTCATTGGGCTTGTAAAGTTCTGTTACATGATCTCCAGCATCATTTCTATCACCGAGACCGTACATTCCAATTACTGATCCTCTTTGTCTCCAACTTTCACATTCCATTTCACCAGTGATTATCAATGCATCTGGATTGCTTGTTTGCCCTATCACAGACAACATTGTATTTCAAGGTAATCTTGAAATACTCTTTCTGACAAGGAATGTAGTGCCATTCCTCTTCAATTTGTCCTTCCCCGCATAGCGACTCATATGATTGTCTGGTTCAAAATGGCTAATACCAATCCATTTCAGCTCCTAATGCCTCAAATATAGATGTGTATGCATTCCATTTCATTTTTGACAACCTCCAATTTTCCTAGATTCATACCTTGTACATTCCGTGTTCCAGTTATTAATGGATGCTTATGGATGTTTCTTCTCATTTTGAGTTGTGCTCCAAATGAAGGTCCCAAAAACTTTACTCCATTCATGTCATTGAGGTCAACTCTACTTTGAGGAGGCAGCTCTTCCAGCACTCTGTCTTGACAGTGATCCACTGCTGTTCATAAAGGCTTCAGTAACTGACCATTCAGAAGTAGTCCACCGCTCCTTCTTTCTAGTCTGGAAGCTCTGCTGAAACTTGTCCACCATGGGTGACCCTGCTGGTATTTAAAGTACCGGTGGTATAGCTTCCAGCAGCACAGCAACTCACAAGGTGTCATCATAGCACAACAGACTGACAAACCGAGTGGGGGATAGGTGACCCTGTGCACTTTAAGTTCCACTGATTTGAAATAAGTGACAAAATGCTGGCCAGCATTATACTTCACACTTGCATTTGAATAGTGTAAGGCATGAGGGTCAAGACAGGAACCTTTGTATCTCACTTTGGAATTCACTGGAGAGGTAGGAGTGGGATTCCTGTTGTTAGCAATGGGTTTGCTTTACTAATTGCATTTTGCTTCAGGGAAGAAGAAACAGCCTCTGTTTAAAAATAAACTCCAGAGCATATTGCAGATTATTCACAGATAAATCTGTTTGCCTCCCTTTGAAGAAAGAAAAATAAAATAATAATGTAAACTTTGGATTTTGAGTGATTGTGCGTTTTCTTATCCTTTTTCTTCACAGTGCTGTACCGGAAAGGCCCTCCATTTTACCATGCCAGGTTTGGAGTGATTTTTAAATATATTAATGATTTAAAGGGACAGGAGGGGCTTTATGGCCCTCAGTGTTATTTCTGTGTCATGGAAACAAAGGTGTATTCCCTTGGCTTGATTGGAACATATGCTAAATGTGTGCAAGATATAAGATAGTACGTAGGGTATGATGTGTGTTTAAGCATTAAACATTGAGTAGATTTCTACACAGTAATTGTTCAACTTAATATCAGTGAGCACCAATTCTAAAGACTGGAGTGAATTTATAGCTTTCATATTGGAAAAAAAATATTTTTGTTCCTTTCCTGAATTTAAATGTTGAAATCCGCCTGAAAGTTTATCACTTAGAGTGTGAGTTTTGTGTTCATCTTTTCTCAGTGGTAGTCTAGGGGACTTCAGGAAGTATAAATGAACAGGTTACTTTCTCTCTCTTTGTTCTTGGTAAGAGAAACAATTTTCTGTTTGAATGGGTTGATTTTCGTGCTTTTTATTTTGGAGCCACCCTTGCTATGTTTTCCAGTTACTCTGTCATTGTCGAGTTAGTTGACGACCGTTTTGAAGGATCTCTTCGTAGACCTTTCAGTTGGAAGTCCCTGGCTGCTCTCAGCAGAGTTTCACTTAATGTCTCTAAGGTAACAAAGCTGTGGCATCCCAGTGTGCCTTAGTGGCTGGGGGTTTTGTTTTTTAACGTGGTGGTGGGTTCACTGGGTTCTCTTGCATCTCTCCTCTTGGGCTACAAGTTATCCTGTTCACGTCCACCCACCGGTTGGTGCTAAGCTCCAGTGATTTGGCTTTAGAGTCACTTCTCGGGGATCTCTTGGCTGCAGGTTCTTGGTTGCAACTTGCGCACACAGGCAGCACATGTGAAACCTGCACACACACACACACGGGCAAAACCCGGACACGTTTGCAGGTCCTCTGAAAAGAGAGGAAGGGGATAATATTATTGCTGAACACATCACGTGTTACCTCTCAGCCGCTGTGGGGTCAGTTCCCACTTACGGTGACCCCACATGCATCAGAGCATCAGAGTAGTTTTCAGTGGCTGACTTTGGGTAGCAGATTGCTAGATCTTTCTTCTGAGGAGCCCCTTGGCTTGAACTGCACACCTACCACTTAGCAGCAAAGTGTGTTGGCTGTTTGTGTGACCCAGGGACTCTTGAGCCTGGTAAGCACCCTGTCATTATCCCCATCCTAAGGAGGTGTTGGGTGAGTCAGCCCCTGCAGGTGACCCTGTTTTCCTGCAGTTGGCTCCCGGCCCGGCAGGGAGGGGCTGCCATCTTACCCCCGCTTGCTGTGTTCACCCGCTTGATCTGCTCCCTGTAAACAGGCGATGGGCCTTCTAGCTCCATCTGCCCCTGCTGCTTTACAGGTGAAAGGATGTGGTTTGTATCCTGTGCCAACTCACTTCATGCTTGGAGTAGTCGTTGGCTGTTTTGGGTGTCTTGATAATCATGTCGGGGCCTTTTGTAGCCTACAGTTTAAATACTATATAATCAGCAAATCTCTTGCTATGTCACTGAGTGCTAAATGGCAGGTCTCTGGTGGGAACATCCCTGGGAGAAGCTGACAGCTCTGTGAGTCTCCCCCTTACGAAATGTCCAGGAGCACAGTGAGGGGACCCACTCACGTTGCCACGATGATGACACATGTTTTGTTTTCACTAGGAACTTATGCTGTGCTATTTGATTAAACCCTCTACCATGACTGACCAAGAAATGGCGTCACCAGAATGTATGAAAAGAATTAAAGTTCAGGTGGGTGAACTCAGAGACAAAGCTATGTCAGCCCAAAGGAGCCTATCACCTTAAATTGTGTCACCTGGAACATGTGGTTCCAAGAAAAGAGAGCAACACTGTAAACCTTGCCAGGCCCCATCAACCTGCCTCTCACCATGTCCCCTCCAACTCACTGGACACACACTATGTCCCAGCCTTCACTGCCCCTGAGCCCCTGGGTGCCACCCCCACAGCTCAGTTGACCCCTCCTGATCCCAGAGACCAGAAGGGCCCCTGCAACGCCTGCCTCCCCCAAGATCCTCATCTGCCTCCTGGGTTCTCTGGCGCTGGGCTATCTCCCTCCCGCCTGTGCGTTTCAGTTGCCTTTCTGTTCTGCTTTGTTTCAGGAGGTGATCGTAACTCGGTGGGTGTCTTCACGAGAGAGGAGTGACCACGATGAACTTTAACCACTCAACCCCACATGTCTGCTTTCACTAATAAATATTATCACATCTCCTACAGTATGCCAAGTTCGGGGCTAGGTCTTGTTTTGCAGCCGCCCCCTATTAGAAAGTCTCAAAGAGCCTTGTACAGGTTTTTCTGCTCATCTTTGAAAAGGTGGCATTGGCCTGGGAGGAAGAGTGAGCTCTGTGGAGGGATCCAAAGGACTGGTGCTCTTGACTCACTGGCTGGGCCTCTGCTGTGTCCTCACCCATCAAACGAGACTTGGTTCCTGAGAGAAGTTCAGTTACGCTCGGTTTTACCTGAACATGGTCATCATTTGCATTGATCTGCAAATTACACTCTGCAGTTGACAAAGCACTGTGTGCACAGGGTTCCTTTGCTACCCACATCTAATTTGTTCTGAAAGTATGCTGATGAGTGAATATGGGGGATAAGAACCCTATGTTCTCTGTTTTAAATGAAGAAAAAGAATAGTGCATCTCACTTTAGCCAAGGACTTCAACCAGTTATTCAAACTCTTAAAAATCCACTGGCATCTGCCAAGGACATCTTTGTCATATGAAGTATCAAGCACATGATTACTTAACTCATAGAACTCCTTGAGGATCTCCTGTGACACTTTAGGATAAACACTGGACTGCTAACCAGAAGGTCAGCGGTTCAAACCCACCAGCCACTCCTCAGAAAGATGAGGCTGTGTGCTCCCATAAAGATTGACCATCTTGGAAACCCTGTACAGGGGAGTGACCGGGTAGGTTTCAGAACTCTTGGTGGGCATGTTTGTGTTAGTACAAATATACAGTAAACACTGCATCCCATATTAGTGAGCTTGTATAAGTGCTAAAGCTGCATGTTTGAAGATCCGCAATGAGTACTTAATAGACTACAGTCAGCGTACGTAGCCTTTTAGTTGATTGCGTCCCAGTGAAGGGAGGGAGGTGGGCAGAGGTGTGTTTGCTGTAGGAGCTACAGTAGAGTGAGAGCGGCACAGCAAATGTCTGAGGTCATCTTGTCACTCAAGACTCTTACCTGTCTGCACACAGTACCTCTTTACCCACCAGCTGTCATGCAGTTGATTCTGACTCCTGTCAGAATAGAGTGGTGCTTTAAAGGGGTTTCAGTTGCTGAAGTCAGAAGTAGATCACCAGGCCTTTATTTTACAACACCTTTGGGTGGACTTGAACTTCCAGCCTTTGGGTTAGCAGCCAAGTATGTTAGCTGTTTGAACCACCCAGGGACTCCTTGCAAACAGTTGTTGTTGTTGTTGTTATGTGCCGTCGAGTCGGTTCCGACCCATAGCGACCCTGTACAGGGTTTCCGAGGGTGTAAATCCTTACGGGAGTAGAAAGCCTCATCTTTCTCCCGCGGAGCAGCTGGTAGTTTCGAACTGAAAATAATCAAGTGGCCTGTGATCTTCCAGCTCCCAACATAAGACTGTAGTCGAGTTGCTGCTCATGTCATTCCTGCTGTTTTGCAACAAAGTATGTCTGCATAATCTAGATTTTAGAGTAATTGGACCACCTACTCTGTCTCAGGCTAGTAATGGTCACCACCTTGAAAGCGTGTTTCAGTAGTGAACGCTCAGGCAGAGCAAAGGAAGGACAGTAACTCGTCTGTTCTTTATTAACGATGCTGATAGTTCAGTATTTTTCCTGTTCGCACTACTCAATCCAGGCTCTTTAGCAAAGTGAAAGATTCCACTTTCTCAAGACCTGACACTTTGTGTCAAGCCTGGTCAGTCCATCAAATGCCTTGTCAATAACTTTCCCATAAATTGTTCCTCAAGGTAAGGACATCGTCAGAAGGTGTGCTGTGACGTTTCCTTTGAAAAGCCAAAATACCACACAGATTTCTGTTCGTAACTGAAAACTCTAGAAGGATTTCATGAAACATCTATAGTCAAAGAATCTGTCTCTGAAAGATTTTGCTTCTTTGCACATGTGAATTGAGCGCCACCTAACAGGCCATGTGTTCTTCACTCCATGAGCCTTGGGGCTTCGGAAACAGTACACCAGGAAAGGACTGGGCTTAATATTGCCCTCAATTTTCAGCTAAAGACAGCATTAGGTTATCTTTGGACGCTCTGTCTGGGGCACTGTTCTTTTCCCATCTTGTGAAATATCTGAACACTATGGCATATGCTTTCATCACGGTTGGAAATTTGATATGTTATAAAACCATTCTCCCCAGGAGTGTTCTGCAGTTTCTGGGAAAGATACTGCAGAGAAGATAATTTGAAGCAGAAGTTACCCCAACACTTCAAAGCATTGGCTCATCTAGTCTTAAATCTCTTGAACATTTCACACTCTTTTTAAAACAAATCTTTCACCACAGCTCTTGCGCTCACAGCTTCTGAACCAACACAACCACAGCGACTTCACGCAGCCTGGGTCCGGCTCCTGCAATGTGGGAAGAGCACTCGCTTCATAGCATTAGCACACCGTGCTCAAGGACACCAGCAAGCTCAACAGTGCTCCCACGTAGACCAGAGGGGTAATGGTAGCATGGCCCAAACTCTGTCATCCATGTGCTTCCTTATTACACTTTATCAGTTCCGGCTTTGCTGGTGTATGAGACTCCCTTGTTGCCATGGCTGGTTGCCATCAAATTGGCTCTGACTTGGTGACCCCGTGTACCACAGAACAAAGTGTCACCCGGTCCCGCACTAGCTTCACAATTGTCATTGTCATACTCGAGTCAACTGTGTATTTGCCATGCCTTCCAACTTAGGGAGCTTACCTTCCAGCACAGTACTGGACAGATTTCTTGTGACCCATAGGGCTGTCATTGGCTAATTTTCTTCAGTAGTTTACAGCTAAGGAGCTCTAGTGGTGCCGTGGTTAAAGGACTTGGCTGCTAACTGAAAGGCTGGTGGTTTGAGCCCACCAGGGACTAGACAGGAGACAAGTGTGGAATTCTGCTTCCATAAAGATCACAACCTTGGAAACCCTATGGGGGCTCGTCTTCTCTGACCTGTAGCATCACTATGGGTCAGAACAACAATGGGTAGTAGTAGTAGATGATCACGTCTTTCTTCTCTCTTGTCTGGAAGCACCACTGAAACCTGTCCACCATGTGGTGTTTGGAATATTGCTGCCATAGCTTTCAGCATCACAGCAATATGCCAGCCACCATAGCACAAGAAACTGACAGGTGGTGGGTGGGATATCCAGAGCCGTTAAAATGCACCCATTTCCTCCAAGGGTTTTCCCACTTTGAGCAGTGTTTCATTAATTATGTGAGAGGATGATATGGTGATACACGTGAACACAAGCATGAGCAGCTGAAACTCAGCATCTGTGTCTGACCCAGACATGCGTAACTTCCACTGCAAGCTGTTACATATTATATTTTACTCAAGTAACCAATATGGGGAGAAGGCTTTTGAAAATAATTAGGGCAAATATTGAGAGAGTGACCACTCACTGCATATGTTGGTTTACCCCCACAGCAAGACTTTTGTCTTGAGGGAGCGTTGAGGGACTGGGATTCATCACAGGAGTTCGCGTCTCAGATGGTGAAGGTGTATCACCAACAGACACTGCTGAGAGTTCTCGGTTCCCCTTATTGCCTTTCCAGATCTCTATAGCTGAAATACCCAGAGCATAGAAAAGCACCTGCAGCCTGAAATTGGAAAGTAAATCAAAAAGTATTTCTACAAAATCAGAAACATTTATTAAACAAAAATGTCAAAATGTGAAATTATTGCTTCTCAATATATCCTCCATCTAGGTCTGTATGTTTCTGAAGGGCATGTTGCCATCTCTAACCCTTCCTTGAAGAATTGAGTTTGGAGAACAAACAAGTCTGAAGGGGCAAGATCAGGGCTCTAGCGGGGCTAGAGTAAGGTTTTCCTATGAAATTCCCTAGCTCCCTAGGGGAGCTCTTGCTACCTCGAAGAGTGAGCAGATACATTGCCATAATAGAAAAAAATGTTTCTTCCTGGCAGTTTTCCACTTCCTTAAAAGATCCTAATGAGCCCCCGTAGTGATCCTGTGTCCTTCAAATACTCTACCAAGATGGACATCGTCTAACCTGAGCTGACCTCTCTACCTTGAATTTAACTGGCCCAGCAGGTCCCCTCAGAAGCCACTGTTTTGATTGGACCTTTGTTTTTGAAGACATCCTAAGGAGACTAAGACAAGTATATTACTGCGAGAACATGTCTGCAGCCATCCACTCATCAGAAGGCCTATTTTGTTTGGAATAAAGTAGCAATACTTTTTGTCTTATGATTATACAGTCCTATGAAACCTTGGCGTCTGAGTGTGGCATGACAGAATAAGCACTGGACTGTAAACCTCAAGGTTGGCAGTTCAAACCCACCAGCTTCTCCTTGGAAACCTATAAAGGGTCGCTGTGAGTCAGAACCAACCTGATGGCACTTCACTACATGAGAGGCTGGATTAAAGACGTTAAACAGGAAGGTGCCATTAGAATGGGACCAGGTAGAGGTACCAACATAGGGCCAGGTGGTAGTACTGCTCTTCAGAGTTAGGATAGGAGGAAGGCCCCTCTCCCCAGGTACAAGCTCACGTGCAATTTTTTTTCCTTAGGTTTTTTGCTTTTTTTTTTAATTTAAGTTTTATTGTGAATTATGTGATAGTTAAACATGGGAGCACATTAATTTTACATTCATATTATTGTATATTGTTTTATTGCCATGGTTACAGTCCCCTCCATACATCATCAACCAACCAAAGGGTATACCCTACAAGCCTGGCCCCACCCCACCCACACCCTGTTCATCAACACACAGCCCCTCTCCCTCTCTGGGTCTAAAGTCCCCAGCCGCTCCATCTCTCCACGTCATCGTCTCTGCTTCCATCTCTGGCGTCACTGCTTCTCTGGGTAGGGAGGGTCCTGCTCTCCGCTCTTCTCCCATGATGGTCCCAGGGACCTCTGCACCTAGACTGAAACGTTAATCACCCCCCTCCTAGCTACAAAACGTTTACCTTTACCTTTCCAAGCCTGATAATCAGTCCTGATAACAATTATTTAC